TTTCCAGGCAGACGAACACACACAGGTGCTGGGAGGGCGGTGCGCCTGGAAGCTCCGTACCCATGCCCCGCACCGCGCCCCATGCATCTCTTCTACTTGGCTGTTCCTAAGTTGTTTCCCCTATAATAAATGAGTGACGGTAAGTAAAATGTTTATCAGAATTTTGTGAGCTGTTCTACCAAATTATGGAAATTTAAGAGGGGTTCGTGGGAACCCTAACGTATGGAAGTGAAGGGGGTCCTATGGGGCTGAGACCTTAACCCGTGGGTCTGCAATAACTCCAGGCAGATGGTATGAGAAGTGAATGAACTGCTGGACACCCCGCCACTGCCTGGAGAATCAGAGAATTGGGGCGGGGCTACTGAAAAAGGTAGGGTGCATTTGGTTTCCGAAGCAAAACAAACCCCTTCACTTGATGTCAGAAGTAGCACCAGTAAAAACAGCTCAACAATGAACAAATATTACTTTTGTCATCAGACAATGCCCCGCCCCCGTTTTTTTCCTTGGGGGAAAGGAGTCGTTAATTTGTAAGAGGGCATCCTGCCAACAGGCCAAATGGAAGGTGTCCCTCAGTTAGGTTGTAGGCCAAACCCCACATAAAACAGAATTCCTTCCTCTCACAGTCGATGCCACCTTCAGGATCCAGTGTGGCTAAACACACCTCACACTTACAGGAGAGAACGGCCTACAGTCCCCTTTCTTCATCTCCGGAACCTCGGCCTCCTCTGGAACTGAAAGCCTCTGAGGCTGCTCTGCCCTCTCGCCTCTTACCCAGATTAACTGGAAAGACACACCACCACTTCAGCAGCAACCCTAACAACCCAAACTCACGAAATGCATTGTATGTGCTGGGTACTGGGCGCAGGACATTACTGTTCAGCTCTCTGTGAATCTCCCTCACAGTCCCGAGAAGCAGACACAATTAGGGAGCCCATCTCACGGAGAGACCGAGGCCCAGCCCAGCTAAAGAAGTAGCCTGTGCACAGCCTATGCTGCCTCAAAAATCCGCTTAACCTACAACGAAGAAGTAAGCTGCAGCTGAAAACCAAATTCAGCCTTTACCTACAACAGGAGAAAAACAATCGACACATCCATTCATGACGATCCTGTTTCCAACACTACTCCAAACCTGTACAAGCTGCTTTTGCAATGAACCACCATTCACCTTTCCACAATGATCTTTATAAGACTTCCAAAGCAGGGACCCACATTTAGACATTTGCAAAACACAATACATAAAATTATACTGTCCCTGTCACCCAGATGTCAGCAAAAACCAGAACTCATGAACAGCTGTTGCTGTAGGTCAAGCCTGTCTCAGGTGGGCATATAGGAGTACACACTCTGCTAGTTCAAATCCCAGCTCCGTGACCTAGTGTGTGACCTTGAGACTGTGACTGATTATCCAGGAGCAATTTCATCCATAGACTGGTGACATCACCTTCCTTGGGGACTTGTCTGAAGACTAAGTACCAACTTAACACAGTAAGCTAAGAGCCCACTTAGTGCCCTGGCTGGTGTGGCTCAGTGGGTTGAGTGCTGGCCTACAAACCAAAGGGTCACCGGTTTGATTTCCAGTCAGGGCACATGCCTGGCTTGCAGGCTGGGTCCCCAGTAGGGGGTGCACAATAAGCAACCACACACTGATTTTCTCTATGTCTCTTTGTCACTCCCTTCCTCTGTCTACAAAAATAACTAAAATCTTAAAAAAAAAAAAAACAAAAAAAAAAACCCACTTAGTGACTTCACTTGTATCCCAGGTCCTTTACGTGGTGGCCTCACCTCTACGTGCTCTCAGTGCAGGGCCCCCCTGAGGACAAAACCACCACCAGAAACAGAGGACTCCAGCGAGCAGCATGCAGAACACTGTGTCCAGCTTTTGTCCTGAGTGAGAGAACCCACTGCAACTCTGAGAACAGGCTCACAGTGGCACTCTGGCTCCAGCCACACAGCCTCTACAGGAATTGATCAGACAAGTAAACCTAGGAGCATGACTTTTTTTTGTTACAGAAAAACCAGCCATTTGCAAATAGGGCTCAAATGAAAATACATGTTGAAATTTGGGACATTTCCTAAAATGGGAAAATTTTGCTGTATTAAAATTATACCTCAAGAAACTAGACCAGAACAAAAACCCCTCCCTTAACCCAAAATCAGTTGCTGCCATGACTGCTAGATGCTGAGAGTGGTAAGATGCACACGTGCTCCCTCTAAAGGGCAGCACCTCAGGCCCTCGCAAAGGAATGAGACAATTAAAGAGGAGCACAGGGTCCTGCGCTGCCTATGGAAGACACATGCGAGCACATGCACCACCCCAACCACTCCCCATCCACCCAAGTAAGCAAGCCCCAGGAACCTGAAAGATCAGAACACGCCTGGAGGGGCCCTCTGTCCCTCCGTGCCCCAAGCATATGTGAGGATGCTGTACCCAGCAGGGACAGGTCAGAGGGCCACCTGCTCCCTTCCCTACCAGGACCAAGACACAGGGGTGGAACACCTCAGAGACTCAGTACGGGAATGGCCCTGAAGTCTGGGCACAAGGCCCAGGGGAGCACCTGCAGACGGAGCACCTGTGCATCTCCCTGCCCTCCACGTGAGAGGTCTGACGCACTAACGGAGGCTGCATAAACCACCACAGGGGAAGGTCCCAGCTGAGGCAGCAGTACCAAGCGCCCTGTCTCTCTCCAATCTCCTGGGAGAATCTAGAGAGCGGCAAGGATCCCCTGGGTCACAAGAAGGCGTGCTAAGACCCACTGTCTACCTCGGTGGTACTGTCTGGCTTCAGTATGGCGCTGTCACCCCTGGGGTAAGCTGGAGCCTCCCGGCAGACTCCTGGGGACAGTGGGAAGGCAACTGGGCACTGCCAAAGCCCAGGTGGTTGCAGACGTGCCTCCAGGAGGAAGAGATAGGTCTTCATGTCGAAGACCAGACAGGTCTCAGGGAACACAAAAGATCGCTGATCTGTGGGACTCAAAACTGCTTCTAAGCCTCAAAGGAATTTAATCGAAACCCAGAGAAGAGCTTAGCTGGCTTCAAGGACTCCATCACCACCGCCCGCCCCTGGAGTACCAATGCACAGGGCCGCTGGTGTTTCCTGCAGACTGACTGCCTGCCCCGCCGCTTAGGGGGCTACTTGCATCGTCCCTTTCCACAGGTTCAACGGGGAGCTGGAGAGGCCGGTGACACCTGCCCCGGGACTGAGTCCCTGGCATCGGTTCCCCTGTCTCCACACTCCCTGGCCTGGTCGCCCTGAGCAGGTTCTTGGAAGACTGTCCCCCAAAAGGGAGCAAGCAGCACCTCCTCAACATCTCCCCGAGACCCCCTGCTGAAAAGACCTGGGGGAGCCTTTGCCTACGCAAGACAGGCTGGGCTCTGCTCTCAATGGGGGCAGGTTACCAAGACTCTCAGGCCTGGATTCCATGACAACCTCGGGTGATCCAGGCTTCTGAGAACTAGGCCCCTGGGGGTCACAGGGAAGAACCTTGCTGAGGTGCACTTGCTGAAATGTCCCTCAGCTCCCCGTGGGGCAGCACACCTCAGTGCCACTCCCAGAGCTCCTTGCTGTCGGGTGGTCTGCGGAACAGCCGGGTATAAACAAGGGACTCATCAAGGGAGCGGTGGCATCCACAGGCCTTACAGGGAGATTTTCCTCCTGAAAGACAGCGGAGCGGCCTGAAGCCAGTCTAGCTGTACTTGTGAAAAAACACCCGGCCATGGCCAAGCCACCTCTGAGCCAGGAATGGTCACCAGGGCCTCCTGGGGGTGTACCTGAGAAGGAGCAGAAGCAAGTTGCTAGGAAGACCCTTTTTAAAAATTTTAACTATTAGGCTTAAAAAACCCCCTAAATTATGGTCTGAATGTGTCCCCCCATATTCACATGTTGAAATCCTAACCTCCAAAGGAGGCAGTATTAGGAGGTGAGGCCTCTGGGAGATGATTATGTCCTGAGGGTGGAGACCCCATGAACGGAATTAGTGCCCTTATAAAAGAGATCCTTCAGACCTCTCACCCCTTCCTCCATGTACGGACACAGCAAGAAGTCTGTGAACAGGAAGAGGGGCGAGCACCCTGATCTTGGACTTCTGGCCTCCGTAACTGTGAGTAATAAACTTCTGTTCTTTATTAGCCATCCAGTCCGCGGTATTTTGTTATAACAGCCCAAATGGACTAATAGCTATCAATATACAGGGTCTGGCAAAAATAACACCACTTTTTTATGTGCTGATACTCTATACCAAATCTTTTATTACAAAAATCATAAGCATGTAATTCTGTAACAAAACAAGAACATACTCAGGCACATTGTATGGCATGTTAGGTGGAACGTTCAGATAGCTGTCCATTCCGTGCAAGGCGTTCACATACCCTACCAACTACACCCAGTGGCATTACTTCTGCGGGACCCTGTATATTCACTGTAAATGTTCAAAGAATATATATGGAGGAGAATAAAACAAAGACATCTTATAATCCTTCCACCCAGACTATTCATTAACATTTTTAATGTATACAGTAATTCCTTTTTTCTATAATTAATATATACATAACTTGATTTTTCATTCAACAGTATTAAAAACTCCCCTCCTCTGCCCCAGGTCATCAAAGAGCCCACTCAGGAGGTGCACCGCAATTTATCTAACCAATCACCTACTGCTGGACATTTAGGTAATTTCCAGATCTTTGCCACTAGTCACAGCCCAGTGGCTAACCCTTTAGGACCATCCACAGACTCTAGCGCTGTCATGGCATGTCACTGATGACTTGGATCACACACTTTCAGGCGATCCCTGGAGAGGCCACACCCACCCGCCATCAGCAGGCCCATTTTCCCAGCCCCCATCTTCCATGGGAGAGGTGGCTGCAACACTTCGCCCACCAGTGCTCTAGCATGGGCATCTCTGCTACCAGTGATCCCAGCATTCCGTCACCCATGTGTCACTGGTTCTACCTCCTCTTTTGTAAACTGTGCATCTTTCCTGTTGCCACTTCTGGGATCCTACCTTGTTTTTGAAGTACACCTCGATGGGCATGATGAAGCCAGCGTAACCCGACTCCTCCACTTTGTACGGGGGCTCCTTACACACTAAAAACAGAAAGGGAAAATGCATCTGTCAGCTTTCTGCCCATTCAAAGGCACAGCCACCTGCGGCAGTAGGCCGCATCCTCTGTGCCTCCTCTCTGGGGCTCACTGGCTTTGCAGGAGCATGGCTTTGCAGGAAGTCAGCTCTCCCTGTGAGCCATGCCCAATTCCATGCCAAAGGTGTCACGGGGAATCAAAGGAACAGAACAGGAGAAAGGTGGCCCCAACACATCATGGTGGGAGAGTGGGAAGGGGCATGAGACCAGCTAATGCAGAGCAGCCAGTGCTGGCCACAGGTTGCACAAGGTCAACTGACGCAGGGCGGTGAGTGTGACACAGGTCAAGTGGGAAATCTAGTGGGTCCCTGGTTTCCCAGGCAGGACAGTGCAGACTACAGCATCCACCTCCTTCAACTGCTCACCGGACACGTGAACTGACCCCAGGAGATGGGGATAGCCTTGTCTCTGCTGGGCTCTCACCTGGGTCAATTTTTGCACCTACCAAATGTGTTCCTGAGGGTCTGAGTGACGTGAAGAGAGACTCATTAACCCCAGAAATTATTTTTTAAGTTGAAACTAAGAATAACAGCAAAGTACAAATAATCTCACCCTCCAGAATGCACTGTCAATGTTTTGAAATGTATGCTGTTATCACATGAGAAAGATGAAAATATTGTTTTCCCACTTTTAAGGAAAAAATTGGAACAGTACAGATCAAATCACCCCTGTCCTCCACCCCTCCCTCTCCAGATGCAACCACTGTTGGAAGCCAAGAAAAACCCTGCCAATTGTTAAAACCTTTATTCACGTATGTCTGTATTGGTCAGATAATTCTTAAATGGGCCAGAAATTGCTGAAGAACAATACATGGAATGTAATAACACATGACTCTTTTAAATTGAAACACTGTAAGGTTTTTCTTTAAAAAATATCTTTCCAGCTCTCAAATATCCCATTTAATATCATGTATTTCAAATACTGCATATGTCTCTTCTATCCAAAGAAAACTGGCAGGCAGGGTGGGCTTGGAGTCATTAGCGACCCTCCAGAGCAGGGCTAGCCAGACAGCTTTGCGTGGACCCGAGTCTGCAAACCTCAGAGGAACAAAGAGGGGCTTGCGGCTCAGGCTTGGAGAAGCCCTGCTGGCCCCAGAGAGGGGAGCTGTCTTGGGTGACCTAGGCCTGAATTTCTATTCCTGCCAGTCCCCCTTCTGCTCCCTAGAAACCCTCCATGCATGCTGTATGGGGACCTCAAACACAACCTGCCCCGAACCGTCTACTTACCCCTCCCAAACCTGCACCTCCCCCAGGGGCCCGCAGCTCAGAGCCCAGGCTGTCCGCCACTCACCCAAGGACTGAGGGCTCCCAGGCTCCTCCCTCTCCCTCAGGTCACCTATTGCTAAGCACTATCAGGTCTGTCTCCACACTGCACTGCAAGGCATCCCCCTGCCCAGCACCCTGTGCCTCTCGCGTGGGTCAGTACCCAGCACCTCCCTAGCCACCCTGCCTCAGGCTCACTCACAAACATCACCTGCCTGGGCAGCAGGATGATCGTTCTGAACTGCAAACCTGACTGCCCCCTGATGGCGCCACACTATCCTCAGGACCAACGCCAAGCCCCTCCAGGTGGCCTACAGGGCGCTTCATCACCTCCAGCCTCATCTCTCGCCAGCCCGACCTGAGGTCCTAAGATCCAGCCCCACCGAACCTCTCAGATCGCAGGTCACTTCCCCCAGGAACCCTGCTCTAAGTCCCAGCCCCCATTTCCAGGTCACGGCTCCCTTCCACAGTCCTCCAGCACCCTGTGTCACTCAACCACAGGACTTCCAAGCTGCCTCTGGTCATCTTTTCTCAATCCCTGTATCAGCTCCGTCTCACTACTCACTGTGACATCGCCAGGGCCCGGGCCAGGACCACACCTTTCAAAAACATTCAATAAGAATCTGTCAAACGCTGCTGAGAGGGCCACAGGCCATGCCTCCCTGACGTTTTCCATCAGAGTAAGGAGATGGACCGGGAGCAGGAAGTGACGTGGACTGGGAGGCCAGGTCATGGCTTGCCTCTCTCTGAGCCTCTGGATCCTCCTGGAGCAGACTGAGGGGACAAGCGGGGTCTCTCCAGCTGCATGAGAGCTGCCTGCCTCGTGCTCTGCCCAACCCCACTGACCGTGAACACCCTGCAGTCTATGCCCAAGTCTAGCACGGAGCTGGGCACGTGGCGGGCACCCCAATACTTGTTAAATTACTCTGAATCCCGGAAGGAAAGTGAAATGGAGCACAAGGGAAGGGTGGCCTGTCTTCACTGCACCAATCCCTGCAGCCAAGGGACACATAAAAGGCAGAGGCAAGGGAAGGGCCTGAAGATTTGCTCCCAACTCCACCCTCCTGACCTTGTCTTCCTCACCCACCCCCAGTCTAACTCCTGTCCGCCACCAAGTCAGGGCCCACCTCCTAACAGGGACAGATCTGGTTTCCCTTGGCTTCTGACTTCGAGGTCACTTACTTCTGCTGAGGGCAGTTAGTTATCCTTCCAAGAGTGTACATCACATTTGATCTCGGTCCCTACCAGACTACAAACCCTTTGAAGAAAGAGATCCTGCTGTGCGTCTCTCAATCTCTCTTCAAAGGCCTATCGCATGACAGGCACTCTGAGGCTAAAAAACGCCCATCCTTTCAGAGATGGAGAAGAGAGACCAAGCACATGTCCAGGGAAACCAAAGTGAGAAAAATGTGATAGGAAATAAAGCCCGTAGAGTGAAGAGGGAAGGAAGGTGATGTGAGCAGCGGAGAAATTTCTGAAAGGCACAAACTGAATGAGAGCATGCTGGGCAAGGAAACAGGAAAAGGAAGCTTCAGCCCAGGACATGCCATGGGGCACTGTCGGGCAGGCAAGAGCCCAAGAGGCCAGGGGTGTGGCATCTACAGATTCAGTGAAGGGCAGGAGAGAAGCTGGAAGAGGGGAGGGAGGGAGAGAGGGAGTGACTGCTAATGGTGGACAAGAAGCTTGTTTACTTGCAAAGTGATGAAAATGTTCTGGAATGAGAGAGTGATGGTTGCACAACTTTATGAATACATTAAGAGCACTGAATTGTAGACATTAAAAGGGTAAATTTTACCATGTGTGACTTCTATCTTAGTAAAGCAGTTATTTAAAAAAAAAAAAAAAAAAAAAAAGGCCCAAACTGAAAGGCTGTACTTGAACAACAGCCTGGGGATTCATCCCGCTGCCACCCCGGGCACAAGCAGTTTCAAGCTTCCCTCTGGGGAAAGCCAGCTGATACCCTGTCTCAGGAGAAGAGACAACTGTCTGGGGGAAGTGAAAGCCTACAGTATGAAAACTGGACCCAGAGCAAAGCCCTCCTCGTGTGTGAAATGGGAAGGCCCATCTCCCTCAACAGACGCTTGCCTGTCAGCAGGCCCATCCTGCCCTAAACAGGGCTCGAAAAACAGCAGGAGCCCAAGGAGACAGGAATAATTTAAAGACCAAAAGAAAAGCTGGGAAAGAAAAAAAACCAAAAACAAGAAAGAAACTAGAGTCATTGTCCTCAGGTCCAAGATATGCCCCAAAATAAAAATAAGATAATTTTAAAAAGGAAAAGGAGGGAATAAGACAGGACTCAATACAAATACAGTACTTACAATTTTTTAATTCAGTGCAAAGACTAGAGTAAAGCCAAGGAAATATTCCAGAATGTAGAGCAAAAAGACATTTTAAAAAATGAGACAGGAAGAAACAATTAAGCAGATTAAACCAATATTCACAGCAGGTAATGTTTATAAAGCACCTACTGTGTACCAGGAACTATTCTCAGCACTTGATACATACTAATTCACTTAATCCCTTTAACAAACTTGAGGTAGATACAATTGTTTCCATTTTATAGATAAAAGATTTAGACAAAAGAGATTAAGTAACAAACATCTTAGAAAGAGAAAACAGATAAAGTAAACAATAAAGAAATTGTCAAAGAAGTAGATGAAAACTTTCTGGAGTTAAATGAAGGACACCGCACTCAAAAAAGACCCTATAGCCCTGGCTGGGTAGCTCAGGTGGTTAGAGCATTGTACCTATATGCCAAGGATGCTATTTGATCCCTGGTCAGGGCATGTACAAGAATCACCCAATGAATGCATAAATAAGTGGAACAACAAATCCGATCTCTCTCTCCCTCTCTCTCAAATCAATAATTTTTTTTTTTAAAAAAAGACCCCGAAACAATATCCTGAAAAATATCTTACATGCTTCTAGAGACAAAACAAGTCATCTACCAAAGAACAACCCAACTGTATCAGATATTTCTGAAGACCATGAAGCAAATACTTTCAAAGCTCTAAATGATACCAATTATCAAAGAGGGATATTATACTCAACCAAACTATCACTTCAGTGTGAGAACAGAATAATGGCACTTTCAAATATACTAGGAGTCAAAGAGTTCATTTCCCACACACCTTTCTTGGTAAGTGTCCTAAATAATTAATCTCTTGGGACATTACTTGAAAAATTACTGCAGGAAAAAAACAAAATAAACCAAAACATAAGCTAACAAATAAATCCCCCCAGGAGAACAGTAAAGGAACATCCCTGGGGGGTTGCTGAAGAAATGGCCTCGAGAGGAGCCAGTCCTGATTAGAGGAAGGAAGACAGGAAGAACCAAAACGAAATATCCAGGAGGGAGAGGGAGAATCCATCTATTAAGTGAAATGATTGAGGATGGAAAAAAGTGAAGGTATAATGAAGACAATGCAATGGGAGGAAAGGAAGAAGCAAAGGGGTATTCACAAAGGGCCCAAACATGAAGCAAAGTAAACAGGGCTGAATTTTAACCAAGAATTATAAAGCATCCATCTGACCTTTACATGACCTTGAGTTTTCTCCTCTGAGTGGCTCAGAGTTCACAGAGAAGATAAATGAAATCCTGGCATCCTGACCAGCCCGACAAGGAACAGAATAAAGTCAATACTGCTTACTGGCTTCCAACTTTTAGTCAATTTCCAATCCAGGAGCTACAGGCTCGGTTTTAGTTCAACAATTTTACCAATGTCAAGGAGAGGGTGCTCAAGGAAACATTTAAGGAAAGAGGGGGTGTTCATGTCCTCTTCCTAAGCCGAAAGTCAGAAGAGAATGACAAAGCTGTCAGCACCTACTGCATCCTTCCAGCACAAAGGAAATAGGAACACACTATAGCATGACACAAATCAGATGAACAAGTAATATATTAGGTTGGTGCTAAAGAGAAAAATGAGCCCTAGCTGGTGTGGCTTAGTGGACTGAACACTGGCCTGCAAACCAAAGGGTCACGGGTTCAATTCCCAGTGTAGGGCACATGCCTGGGCTGCAGGCCAGGTACCCAGTAGGGGGCATGCAAAATGCAACAACACACTGATGTTTCTCTCCCTCTCTTCCCCTCTCTAAAAATAAATAAAATCTTATTTTAAAACAAAGAGAAAAATGAAACAGGAAAAAGACTAGAAGCATGTGGTTGTTTAGGTGTTTTGAGCGAAGAAACTGTATGTAATTTAGACCTGGCAGCCAAAGGACTTCCTAAAAAAGGTGACAGGGAGCCTTTGTGGAAGGTCTGAAAGGTAAGCAGGTGTGCTCATTATTCAAAGTCACAAAGACAATCACCGCAAAATGAATCACTTACGTATAAAACATTTAGAGCAGATGATGGATAAAAGGAGTTGGGAGTTTAGTATAAAATCTAGCCTTTCATGTTGGTAAGTTCGTATTTTTTAAATCTGAAAATCAAGAACTAAGAAGCAAGCCAATCCACTTCCACTAACTTAAGGTGTTCAGGAAGGACACGATGGGGAAAGGACTAGAAAGACTGTCCATGGGGCAGTGTGACCAGTGATGGCACAGGAAATGGAAACTTCCCACCCGGCACATTTCTACTGGGTTTGTTATGTCTGTCTGTTTGATTTTAAAGATACTTTAAGTACATGATGAATAATTTTAGGGCCTAGAGTCCTGTAAGAAACTCACTCGCTCTTTAATCTGACCCATTTTTCATTCACAACTGACAAGGGTATAATCCAATCGAGTTTTGTTCGACACAACAAATAACTAATCGGGCATTTACTATTTCACACATTTTGTGCAGATTTGGCAATAAGCACCATTCAACTATTAATTAAAACTCTGCGCACAAACTGACACTTTTGGAAAGTGGGCCTCACTCATCACCCATTTTCTTGGATCTTGGAGGTCAGACACGAGGCCACTTCCATGCGACTGCAAGCAGGTTACTGGGCCTCTGAACCGCAGCGTCCGCATCTACCTGGCAGGGTTTCTGGGTCACACCATGTTGCAGGGCTGTCACGAGCCCAGCACACAGGCCAGCACGTGCCTGACAAAAGCAGACCACTATTGATATTACTTCTAGTGGCTACCTGGTTACTGACCCTGGGGAGATGAAGATGAAGTGAATAGTTTAAAGGTGAATGGAAATTATCATCCTTGGCCACTGGGAGAGACAGGAACAGAACAGGTCAGGCGGACAGTGGAAGAGCTGCAGTGGAAGCTGCTAGGGAAAAAAGGCAGGCCCGGCTCACGCGAATCAGGCAGCCAGAGTTTCTACTCTGCTGGCAGAGCTCAAGAGCAGCCACAGAGGACTCCCAAATGAATGGGCGTGGCCGGGTGCCCACAGAAACAGGCAGCACTACCAGACCCCAGGGCTGCTTCCTTGGCCCCCTGAAGCCTGTTTCCACATCCACAAAATAAGGTTGTGGGGGAATGAATCGAGATCCTGCAGGAAGTGCTTGGTAAGTGGCATGTATTATCATTATCATCATCATCATCATCATTGTGATTATTACTAAGAAGTGCTTTACAGATATCTACTGTTGTCAGTAACATGTCTGCTCTCCTCCAAGAGGCTCAGAGAGGAGGGAGGAGAGAAGAATCAGGAAAAGAGAAATGAGGAAGAGAAACAGCTGAAAGCTGATGGAAGAAACCAGAAGGAAAAGAAATGGCCACCACGCCACTAGGAATCTCAAGTTGCCTTCCCTTCTGAACCAGAAGTTTCTGCTTCTGCAACATGTTATCTCCCTCTAGGCCATCAGCTGCTTGCTGGCCCAGGCCCAGGCCCCCAGCAGGTCGCACATGTGCTCCCGCTCCTGCCGGAGGCTGTCCACCCCGGCTCCCCGCTCAGCCCTGGACCCCCGAGCCCTGCACTGCAGGCGGAGGGGTCAGCAACGCTGCAGCGGCTCCCCCGCCCTGAAGCACTTTGCTAGCAAAAGTCCTTTGTGCCTTTATCAACACATCTATTCGAGTAATATTTATTAGACCCCTGTGACATACCAGGCAGGCTTCACGCTGAGGACTTGGTGGTGAGAAAAGCAGACGTGGCCCCCACAGAGCTCACGAGACAGCCACCAACTATCCTCCCAAATTCCCCATCAAATTCCCCAGGAAGTGTTTTCTGATCCCCATAAACTGGGTGAATTCCCCTCTCTCTGCCCTGTCAGACTGCCAGGTCACAGAAAATCAGAATCTTTGTGGGAAACATGAACAAGGCACTTGTGCTCACCAAACATCAGCCTGACAGACGACACAGGAAAGGCAGGCCTAAGAAACCAGACAGCAGTGAAATGAGCACCTTTTATGCTTTTTTTCACAAATATCATGACTTCTTAAAATGGCATCTCTCATCAAATGTAGGCCCAATAAGCAATTTCCTGATTACTTTTCCAGTGGACATAAATCGCCCTTTCCCACCTGCTGGCCACTGACTACGTTTTCTCTGGAGGCTTCTCAGAGCCAGGGTCTACATAACGACCCAAGACACAGACATTCAGTCCTTTGGGTTTTCCCCACTATGAAACTGACAGCTAGAGGAGAAGCAGAAGGGAGGGAGGGGGACCTTTCGAGGGTCAGAGGAGAGCAGAGTGCTGGCCGGGCAACTTCTCTCTGGCATGCCCAGAGCTGTGAGCCAGAACCCTTGGAGTGTGAACACCAGCCCCGCTGGGAGGGGGCGGGGGGCGGGGGCGGGGGCCACTCACCACGCTTGGGCTTGGGGAAACTGTCATGCAGCCGGAAGACCACCTTCTCCACGAAGTGCTGGATTTCACATTGCTCGGGGCCGCGGACGAACACCATCCAATCGTGCGTGAACCCCTCCGTGGTGGGCTTTTTGCGCAGCTGGGCCCGATGTCCCAGCTCTAACTTGACCTGGACAGTGCACTGGTGGGAGAAAGAAGCGGGCGCAGGGTCAGCATGAAGCCCGGACCAGGAGACTGCCAGGTGTCCTTGAGAACCAGGTGTCGTGTGCCTGCTTTTACTCATCTTCTCTCCCCAACAAGCCCAGGCCAGGCCCCACGCTCCTCTCCACCCCCCCCCCTCAGCCTCTCCATTCCTGCCTCAGGGCCCTGGCACCGGCCATGGTTCCCTCTGCGCCTGGTGCTCTGACCCTAGGCCTTCCCACAGTAGTCTCCTTCCTGGCGCTGAAGTCTAGGCTGGGCGGTCAGCTCCTCAGGGGAGCCTTCCCTGACCACATGGTATGAAACCACCCACCACCACCCCATCACTCTGTGTCACATCATGCCTTAGCATTTGTCACTATCAGAACTCATCTTGCTAACAGTTTGTTCACTCTGCTCTAACGTCAGCTCCTCAGGGATGGCTTCTTGTTCGGATTTGGCATCCCCACCGAGATCTCCCAGAACACAATGGTGCAACCCGAAGTCGGATTACCTCCTTCTACGGATGAGGAGCCAGGGCTCCAGGAGCGCACTGTCAAGCAGCACACTCGACGGGGCCCAGACTCAGGCCTAGGTGCGCGCCGCCCAAGGGCCTGCTGCCGCCGCTGGGGCCACTCTGCCAGCTCGCCTCCCTAGCCAAGCCTCCCACGCTCCTTCATTAAAGCATTTTTATTCTTCCTCATTCTACAGAATGCCTCCTGGAGAACAGAGATCAGTGGGGTCATCTGAGTCATCCGTACAAATGGTGGCTCAGTTTTAAAAGCAGGATGGCAAGAACGGAAGGGCAAGCCTGAAGCCACCCGCTGCCCCGGTAGGCAGGCTTCCATCATTAAGCTGGTGTCTGATGCTCTGCCCTGAAACACAAGGCAGGTCATGGCGGTTCCACTCCACTGGACAGAAAGCCACAAAACTTCGAAGGACTGGCAACATCTTGGTGGGGGAGGAGGGGGTCAAAACACCACCAGGGAATCTACTGTAAACAGTTATCTCCTTAGTAAGAGCCTCCCCAGCCTTCCTGTAGATACAGCTCGACACTAAGTATCAAATGCAAGAATGATATAAAGAAAGCGGAGGCTGAGTGGATACTTGTTCCTAAGTGCCGAGATAACCAGCAGCAAGTCGTGGGTGGCACGGATGCCACACTTCCCCAAACAAAGCTCCCCTGTGACGGGCTTCCCAGGCCTCCCTTGATGGAATTACCCTCCTGGGTCCTGACCAGAAATCTTCCACTTTTCACTTTCCACCCTCTTTCTCCCCGAACCCACTGATGACGTGTGTCTCTATGGCCGCAGTCCTTCTGTACCTGCCTCTTCTCTGCAACCCAGCAACCCGTTCAGTTCTCGCCACCAGCATCCTCCCTCCCTCCTCACCCTCCTCTCCCTGCTCAGTCATTGCAGTGAAAGCAGGGCAGACAGATCCTATCTCTGGCTCTGCTTCACTCTGTTTCATAGCTTTCCTTGGCTCGCCACACCCTCAGAATAAAGTCCAAACGCCTCAGCACACCACTGTCTCCCACCTGTGTTTCCTCAAGTCTGAGATCCGCATTATTTTTTACTCTTTAGCCCTTTTGAGGTCAGTGTATCTTGCAGTCCATGTATAAGGAGTGCAAGATACAAGGTGTGCGTATGTGCGCGCACGCGCGCGCGTGCACACACACACACACACATACACAAAGAAGCTGTTTTTAAGTCTGTGGTGTGCCCAAGAGGCTCAAAACTGAGGAAATACTGAAATGCCCACCAACCCATTCCAGCTTAGTCAGACACTTGCATCCCAATATACACAGGGAACATCCACTCCTATCTGCTTCTGCTCCTTCTAGCCCACACCCTAGGTGCCCTACTCATTTCCCTGCTGATCAAACTCCATTTGTCGCTTATTCTACAGCTTTAGTGCTACTTTCTCCAAAGCCCGTTCCAATCGCAGAGTGTGTACAAGCATCTCCGTGGTGGTACCCACTCTGTCTCGCCACTGTTCCTGGGCTGCCCAATGCTACCTCCCCAGGACCACACCTCACTTATCCTTTTAACCTCTATCTTGGAACCATGGTATGTGAAGCAGCAACTATACTTAATGACTCGAACTAGAGGGTCTTCCTAGATCAGTGTTTTATGTGGTGCTTTCCAAAAGGAAGAGCCAGTAGGACAGGATGGTCCTGATGTAAGTATGGAAGAGCTGGCAGAGGCTCTGGGTACTTAGGGAGCACCTGTAAAAACAGGGCAGGAGTTCCCCCGACACAGAACAGTCCCTGTGGGGCTCCTTGGGAAAAGTGCGAGGATTCGCTGGGACCGGTCCACTGGAGGGAGGGGTGAGCATGGGGGTGAAACATTTAGAGTCAACACAACAGACGTCAGAGCCAGTTGTAAGGAGCTGATGGGTGTGAGGGCCCAGCATGTGAATCAAAGGGCCTGGGCAATCTGCAGTCTGGGTTGAGGGCAGAAAAGGGCAAACCAGTCTGCAGGAAGGCAGCCAGGGGGTGTGGCTGGAAAAGGGGGTCAACTCAGGCCTGAAAGGGGAGAATTCACAGGACCTCAAAGTGGGTGGCGGGGAAGAGGCAAGGAGCTCAAATAACTGAGATCCAGGTGACTGGGATGCTGCTGGGATGGTGGCAGGGAGTACTGGACGTATTTGAGTGGAAATACCCCACCAAAAGCTAGAGACAAAGGACTAACCATCTGGATAAACACGTAATGTTCACATCAACCACAAGCATCTGTCCTCGGAGTGCTGCATATGGACAACGTTCAACATAAACAAACCCAAGCAATATTTACGCCATCTCGAAAGGCTGTAATCACCATATACACGTCAACATGGGCAAGAAACTCTGCCTTTCTCTCCAACCTGATTCACAATGAAAAGTCAGAAGACAATTCCTGCATTGCTGGTAGGCTTACAGGTAGAAAGCTAATACATACTGGCAAACGACTTTTTGTTCTTCGGAGTTAACTCCTGTGTAATGAGATATCTCCTCAGATTCTGTCATTCACCAATCCAGTTGCCTTCCCTGCATTTCTGATTATATGCAGTTTGTACCCAGGGCACATGAGCAGCAAAGCAGTTACTGTGACAGAATGGAGACCACAGTTCCATCAGTGAAGAGAAAATGGAAGCACCAAAAATACACTCCACAAGCCAAAGTAAACAAACAGGAAGGTTCTGGAGCGACAGTGGGTCATCCCTTTAGCCGGCCGGCCGTACCCAAAGCTGGCTGGGTGGCATCTGTGCCTGGGGGCTGGTGCCAACTCAGCCTCCACACCCCCGGGTCAAGGTGCATATGATGGTGCACTCAGGAGAGGATCACTCTCCTGAATGTTGGAACCTTCTAAAAAAAATACAGATACTAGAATAACACAGATTCTAAGCTATTGTATTAGAAGTCACTGCTTCAGTAAGACAGTCAAGCTGCACTGAACTGGAGGCAAGCAAGCCGAGCCTGGCCAACTACTTCGACTTGTCATGATAATTTATTAGCATGGCTAAGCCAGTGCCACCTCCAAGAGTTCCGCGCACTCCTCCCCCTTCCTTACTCCACGTGAACCCCTTCCCTGTCCATCAGAACGAAGGAATCGAAGTAAATCAGCTTTCCCTAGGACAGGTGCTTGGCTAAAGGATTTGGTAAGTGTTGGTTAGGTTAACCTGCCTTGGAATGAAGAATCTCACTGTTCGGCTGCATGGAGGCCCACTGTGCGACCTCCAGGGTAGGTGGCTGGAGGTGGCCCTGGGACCAAGCCTCAGTCACTGCCATGTCCCAACATCCTGGGGGCCACTTAGCCACCCACTCTCTCAACAAAAGCGGGGGACAAAGGGGAATATTCCATCACTGCCTCAAAAGGGGTAACTATTTTACTTCTGGGATATCATCCCAAAGACCTGGGCGATGGAGCAGCACGAGGTTTCCGAGGGCCACCTGGGAAGAGCTCACTTTGGGCAGAGGGCCTCAGCTGGGCACTTTCCTGTCTCCAGGCCAACCATACCCCACAGATCCTGCCCTCAGCCTGCGCCCCAGAAGGCAGATCTTTAACAACAAGCTTATCTGTAAGATTTCTCCTAATATGCTGGTGGGAATTCTCTTCAACAGATGCCCTTTCCTCTAGGAATTCGCACTTTACCAAGCGGCATAATTATGCCTGGAGTCTGGCTACTGCATCTAATTCCCTCAGATGTGACATTTCAGTCCCCTCCCAGGGGGAGAAAGTACCCAAGAGCATTTTCCCTTCTCAGTTAGGACTGATTTCGCCAAGTCCAACTGCACCCAGCAGACTGCTGGCAACATGGTCCCCACACACAGAAATGGAAAAAAGTACTGGTCACATGAAGCAATGGCGACATAGACAAATAAAATATTCCTCACAGAAGTTTCTCTCTCTAGACCCAGTGTGGGACTCCCAGGAGCAGCTACTGAAAGAGAACATGAGAAAGACAAGAAATGAAGGGTGTCCCTTGGTGACAGCCCTCTCAAGAGAAAGGGAGCCTGCCCAGAGGTGGGGACAGGATCAAGCTGCCTGAGGAACTAGTCTTCTAACTGCAGACACACAGGGGGCTGGCAGGCAGCACCTACACCCTTCTTTTGGCTGTGTCCAGCCTAGTCCCTTTCACCCGAGGCACAAGGTTAATGACAAAGGATGAGAGGGAGCGCAACGAATACCCTCTGGAAACTCTCTGTGGGTAAGTGTGCAGGCCAAGTGGCTATGCAAATACACCTACAATCCTTGTTTCCAGGTTCCTGGGAAGAAAGGCCCTCTCCAGCCTGCGGGGGGGAGGGGGGGGAGCCTGGGAGGGGATACACATCACACATGCCTGAGATGCCCGCAGGCACATCCCGTTGTCTCCGAAGTTCCCCAGGGAGCAGCTTAGGGCGTTTTTTGCAAACACCACACTACCCTGAAAAAGGCAACTTTGGCCAGGCCAGGTGGGCCTGGTCACAAGGGGCTGATACTTACTTTTACTTAACCAACAGCTGGCAAAGTTTGTGCAAAACTGAGTTACATAAACATAAAGAGGAACAAGACTTGGGTCCCTGCCGTCAAGTACTTTACAACTTACTATCATAACTCCAGGACAAAACCCCTGCGTGCTGACTTTCCAAGCAATAGTTTCAGAACCGGGCGTGGGGGAATCCAGCCACACTCACACCCAGTGCTCTGAACAATTCCAAGCATCTCTCCGCAACGTCTGGGGAAAAAGCAGACCTACCTAAGAAAGCCACCAGGCCTTGACCCCTCTTGAGGCCTTCCTGTGCCTGCATTTCCGTATCTGTAAAACGGGCCAGTGCCGTTAGAAACAAACCTCCCCTTCCAGAACAACAGAGTATGATCACAAGAGGTTGTTCCCAAATTCAAACTCAGGAGAACCTTTTGAGGAATCAGCATTAATTCAACTGTATGATTCAACGGGTTGGCCACCTACCTCGGGTGCCAGGCCCAGTGCGTCTGTGAAGGGAGGACACCCTGGTCCTTTGGAGAACAGAACCACCCAGACATTGACACACCTTCTAGCTCCCCAGGCAACGCTTCCTCATCCTCCCAGCACCCGCTCAGGCTTTAACTATGCCCATCGCTTCCCCAACATCCTTGGAGATACATCACATGCCTCATCAGCAAAGACCTGAATCTCCCCCACAGAAGTACATGATTCCCTTCTCCCTGAAAAAGTACAAATCCCACAGGCATCAGATGTGTTAAGTACAGACTTAGGGTCGGGACAGAGGGAACTTAGGGTCGGGGACAGAAAGACTTTTCCTACCCATGGGGAAAGATTTCAATGTCAAGAAGTTGGGAGCCCAGAGCAAAATGCAGAATGGTCTGGGCTGAAGGTTCTAGAGAACACAACAGGAAGGTAGAGAGAAGCAGACTCCTAAAGCTGGCACGCCCTTAGGGGAAAGTCCTGTTGTTCCCCCTGAGACGGAGGCACTTTCAGGTTTGGGGCATTCTCAGGGAGAAAGGGAAGGCTGAGATTCTGCTGGATTCAAAGGCTTTGCCAAGCACCAGAAGTCGTTCCGGAACACTGGCCGCCAACTTGCCTACTTCCGTACTCTTCCCAAATTTGCACGAAAACACAGCCAGGATGGGGAATCGGTCTATGAGATGACTTGTACTTTCCTTTGGGACTAGTTTAACGTGCAAATTCTTCTGCAAGGATCTAGACCAGCACTGCCCAACAGACCTTTCTGCCATGTCTCCATGCTGCCCAAGGAGGAGGCTGACAGGTCCACAGTGGTAGTTACTGGGCCCTTCCCATGTGGCTGGTATGACTGAGGTACTGGCTTTTTCATTTTGGTTTGTTTATACTTAAAGGAGTCAAGGGTGCTGGTGGCTACCACATCTCAAGTGTGTTCAACAGTCCGCCCTGTCACAGACCAAGAATGCCACCTATTCTCACCATCCTACTTACATAAATGACAACCGCCCCGGGGGAATAAACACACTTGGGCCTGAGACATCTTCCGGGAGGAGCAACAGATGGGGTGAGAGATGGGAGTGCCGATATTCTAGGCCTGTGTGGTGCCCAGCAAGCCCTTTCCAGAGGTGGGCTTTGTTGAAAGTGGGCACTGAAGGCATATTTTGTTTTGTTTTTTGACTCAATGTGAACTGAAGGCAAAAAGCTCTGTCCCTTCAAGGGAAATGAATTCACACCACGCTGTACACCTCCGCCACTCAACTGTGATAAACTCTTCCTTCCCACTGAAGAGAAAGGTAGTAACACTAAAGCCACAAGGGAAATCATGGCGAGAGGGAGCCACAAACACAAGCCTCAATGATCTTGTGCCACCACAGACAGCCAGGATAGGCAAGGGAAGAGGTCTCCTGCCCTGCACCCTTGAAACCTCAGCGACACAGCACCTTACCAGACAGAGCCACCTCAGTGGTGCTAGCAGCTGGGGACGCCCCAACCTGCCCTTGCTAATGGCAGAGATTTCAGCTGCCACCCCCACAGTCCCACGCCGCCTTTCCTGGCCTTGTGCCCCTGGAAGCCAGGGACGACAGGGAAAAATGAAAAAGTAAACGGTCCTATGATGGGGGCCAGTGGTACAGGGCTTGAGGAGGGGAAGGAGGCCTAGGTACTGAAGAAAGTAAGCGCAGAGCTTGTGAAAGGGGGACTAAAAAGGCCTCAGGTTTACCAGAACTGACAGGATGGGCTCTGTTTCCAGAAGGGAGAGGGGCCACGGGGAGAGTGTGCAGAGGTTAGGGAACCACCCGGGGTTTGGACCAAGGCTCTAGGTGGAGGCTCTGAGGCGTGATGAAAGGAGAGGGTACCAGCTGAGAGTCACAGCATCAGGCTGGGGAACGGTGGAATGAAGTGCGACACTCTGCAAGGAGAGAGGCACTGGGGTTCTGGGGAGACTGCAGGTCAGTGAAAGTTCAGTTGAGGCTGGAGGAACCAGACTGATGAGACTGATCCAGGTTTGAGGATGGGGGAGCATAAACCAGGGTCGCAGAATCAAAGAAGCCCAACCCAAGGCGAGGGAGGTATTTGGTGCCTCAAGAGTGTGCGGGCTCCGGTTCCGAACAGAAACTGCCCCTGGGTCTGGCCTAAGGGGGTCTGAAGGTAAAACACAGGCACTGGGGTCCCTGGGAGAGTGACCAGGGCCTGAAACCAGAGGAGGCTGAGGCAGGAGACTAAGGAAGCAATTCCAGGTTCATAAAAGGGGAGCAGGGGCAGGAGCGCTCTACACAGACCTGGGTCCTTGTGGGAAGAGACCGAGGACCTGGCCAGGGTTTGAGGGGGAAACAGACACTCAGACTGAGGCAGGGGCAGGACCAGAGGGGAGAGAGGGCTCAGGCCTAAATGAAGAGAGGTAAGAAGGCTTACGGTTCAAGGAAGGAGGGCTGCAACCCAAGGTCCTTGGGGTTCTGGGGGGACTCAAAGCCCAGCCATGGTTAAGGGAGAGAAGAGGCAGCAGGCTGGGCACTCAGGGCCTAGAGTCCAGAGAGGAAAGAAGACACAGACCAGCCCTGGATCCAAAGGAAAAAGAGAATACAGGCTGAATCTGATGAGTCCCACAGGTGCGTGTAAGGACTCTGGGTTGGGGTGGGGTCCCAAGGGATGTCCCAGAGGGCTCTGGATCGGACCGAGGTCCTAAAAGGCGCCCCAAAGGGGTCTGGGCCGCCAAAGGCAGTTTTGGGCTGGGCCGGGCCGGGTTCCCGAGGAGCGTCCCACGGGCTTTTTGGCCGGACTGGGGTCACAAGAGGCATTCCAGGGGCTCTCGGCTGGCCCCGCCCGGGGTCCCCAGCAGTGTCCCAGACGCTCCAGCCAGGCCCGGGTCGCGGATGGGGGAGGGGTGCCCCTGCCCCACATAAAGGCCCGGGGAGCAGCGGGCGCGCACAAAGCGGGACCGGCGGGGGCCGAGCGCGGGCGGGGAGACCGGGACTAAGGAGGGCCGGGCGGCGGGGCGGAGGGAAGGAGGGAGGGAGGGAAGGGGCCGGGCGGACGGCGCGGGCTGCGCTGGGGCGGCGCGGCCGCTCCTCACCTGATTGTCCATGGCTGCCGCCCAGCCCCGCCCCCGGGCCCCGCGTCGCTCGCCGCCGCCGCCGCTGCCGCCGCTCAGCTCCTCCCCGCTGCCCTCATTGTCTGTCAGGCGCCGCCGCCGCCGTTCCCGGCCGCCCGCCCGCCCGCCAGCCCCGCGGAACCGGAAACCACCGCCAGCCCGGGTCGCGCACCGACCCCGGGCCCCCGCCGCCGACTCAGGCCCGCCGCTCCGACTGACAGCAGCCTGGGCCAATCAACAGTGCGGAGGGCCGCTCGTGGGGCCGGTCTTCCGGCCTGGCGCGGGCCGACCGGGCGGCTCTCGGAGGAACGAAGTCCTTAGCCAATGGGCTCCCCGGGCCGGAGGGGCGGGGGTAGGGAGGGAGGGAGGCGCGAGGCAAACCCCGCGGAGGGAGCGCGAGGTGTGCGCTGCACGTGGAGGGGGGCGGGGGCGGAACGGGCGCGCTGCGCGTGCGCACTGCGTCCCTAAGAGGCCGCTGTCTGGTCTCCGGAGCCTCCCTTCCCGAATCTACCCAGGCTGGAGCTGAGGTAGTGGGTTCCAGGTCCAAAAGCCCTAGGGACACTTTTGGTTCCTGGTCTAGTGCTGCTGTGTGATGGAATGAGCTCTGGGACTGCAGGTTAATTTTCCTGTCTTTGATCCGCACTGGGGCAAGCCTGGTCAATTGGCTTCTCCCCCTCAGTTTCAGTTTGCACATGAGTAAACTGAGGACAATCATAGCATGGCGTAATGCTAGTTGATGCTAATTTGGATGATGCAGATTTGAAATCGAGCTGCATTAAAATGATCAAAGGGGAGGTCTCATTTTACCTGAAATTTATAATGCTAAACCGTCCAAAAAACAATTTTGAATTTACCCATGATCCTGTAATTTCATAGCGACTTGTAAGCTATATTTAAGTGTCCTGTGCTCATTTGATTGGAACTTTGTCCTGTCCTGTACACAAAAAGTTTACGGTTTCCTTCACTGGTCAGGGCACATACCTAGTTTGCAGGTTCCATTCCCATCCCCATGAGTGTGTGTACTAGAGGCAACTGATGGATATTTCTCTCTCACATGATGCTCCCTCTCTCCTGGCTTCATAACCATGCTTCTGTCTCTCTCTCCCTTCCTCTGTCTCTAAAATCAATTTAAAATTAAAAAAAAATAGCCCTGGCTGGTGTGGCTCAGTGGATTGAGTGCTGGCCTGAGAAGGAAAAGGTTGCCTGTTCAATTCCCAGTGTAGGGCACAGGCCTGGCTTACAGACCAGGTCCCCACTTGGGAATGTGTGAGAAACGACTGATTGATGTTCCTCTCCCTCCCTTCCCCCCTTTCTAAAAATAAATAAATAAAATCTTTTTAAAAATAAAAAGAAGTTTTTGAAGTATTTTAAAAAACTATATTTAGATCAAGTATAGACACATCCCTCCATCTTTTTCAAGATCTTGTAAACCACTTGTCTCTCAGACATTAGGACTCCTGGCTGAGATTTGGGGAGCCTTGTGCAGTTATTTAAATTAAAAATCGGTTTTGGATTTTGTTTGTGGGTTTTTCCCCTCCACGTCTCATTTAAGTGTCAATCAAGTATTCATTAGGCGGTGTGGCTGGTACTTTGCACTGAAGAACAGCACCGGAAATCAATAACTTTGGATTGTCAGTAAGTCCAAACAAAAACTCTGAAGAGCAGATTGCTATCATAACAACACTGTACTTTTTACTCTAAGGCAGGATGTGCTGCGGGTGGGTGGAATGGAGATCATGCTGAGAAAAAAGCTGCTACTTCAGTGTTGGTACAACTTTAATATTTTAAAGCCCTGTAATTGGATGTAAGTAGATCAGTGTGGTTCTATGCGGTCCTTGAAACATCAGGCTCGGCATCATCTGGGAACTTTATTAGAAATGCCAGTTCTGGTCTCCCTATATTTATGGAATCAGAAACTCTGTGGGTGTGGCAGCATCCAGGGGTTTGGTTTAACCAGTTCTGTAGATGATTTTGAGATTCACTCAACTTTCAAAACGACTGCCCTAGTTAGAGACAAAAATGGGGAGGGGGGAGAGTAGCAATTTTTTTCTGAAGGAAGCTTGCAGTGAAGAACCTTTAAGCTTTGATTGTTGCAAAGAGCCACCTTTTTTTATGTTTAGATGAAGATTCTAATGTGCAGACTGGATTAAGAATCACTAAACTGCAGTTAATAACACTTTCCATTGTTACTGTATCTATTTTTATGGTTCTTTTGGATCTGTAACAAATGACTTCTTGAAGTGACACAATGTTTCCTATCTAAATACATCAGTGTGAGCAAAGAAACACATAAAGCAAATAGTAATTTGAGCATATGGCAGAATACACGATTGATACATGTTACCTTGATGTTGCAAATAATAAAATTGACACACAGAAGGAGATACAAGTGGACCCAAGTCTCACAGCTAGAAAGTAACATTTTGAACACAGGGAGTCTACCTTCCTGTCTGGACCAAATTGCGGCTACCTTAGGTCTCTATTGCCCTCTAGTGGCCGGGTTTATTAGCACCCAGAGGGAGGACTTTGCATTCACCTTGTAGATGGCTCAGCCTTTGGAGGGTTTTTTTCGGACTCCTCTTTCTGGTCTCCAGCATGTTCCCTATACCTCCCATATTCTTGCCAGCCATGGATATACTCAGCACAGTTTCATGCCAGCCACAAACATACACACAGCCACTCGTGGCAATATTGAATATGACCAAGCTGGAGCAGAGCCCAGTGGCCAGCTGGAGGCCTAACCCAGATTAAATTCAACTCAGAGCAGATCTTGACTGAGGCCTATGGGACATTGGGCCTTTATCCCATACACCATGGGGAGCTATGAATGGTTTTGGAGCCAACTCAAACTATGTACAACAAAGTAGTTCCCCAGAAAAGGGCAGTACACTGGGCATTGCAATTTTTCTCTCTCTCAGTATCATTACCCCTTTTTCCTGGCAACACTTCCTGATCTAGGGGCTCTTCCCAGAAGAACTATGAGCCTGTAAGACACCTTCATATAAATTTTTTAGTGGCAGCCCTTCCAGGAGAATGCCAACTTATGACAGGGCACAAGGCTTAAGGGGTTCAGCTCTCATTTACCCCTCAGAATGGGGCTCTTACCCCCTCACTGCCCACCCCTAACTCCCACCTCTCACCACAAGGAGGAAGGTGACCAGGTGAGGCCAATCAAAAGACTGTATCCCTCTGGCTACTGGATTTGTGTGTAGGGTAGGGGGAGGAGGCAAGACCTACAGCCAGTAGAGAGTGACTCTGGGAGCTTTATTAAACCTTAATTGAGGTATAAATCACATGCAATAAAACTAACCATTAACCATATCAAAGTGTACAATGCAGTGGCATTTAGAATGGTAACACTGTTGAGCATCCTCCACATGTATCTAGTTCTGAAACATATTCTTCACCCCGAAAAGGAAACCCGTGCCTTTCAGCGGTCACTCCCCATTCCTTCCTCTCAACCCCTGACATCCACTAATCTGCTTTCTGTCTCTATAAATTTGTCTATTTCTGGACATAGGAATGGAATCACACGCTGTGTGGCCTTTTGTGTCTGGCTTCTCTCACAGCGCATGATGTTTTCAAGCCTCATCCATGTTGTAGTATCAGTGTTCCACTCCTTACAGCAGAACACTATTCCGTTGAATGATACACCACATTTGGTTTATCCACTCTTCCACTGTTGGGAGTTTATGTTGTTTTCCACTCTTTGGCTCTTATTAATAGGGTTGCTATGAACATTTCTGTATAACTATTTGTCTGATTAACTGTTTTCACCTCTTTTTGGTATATATGTAGAGGTGAAATTACTGGATCATATCAGGAGGTGTGGCCCTGGGCAAGTTGCTTACCCTCTTTGAGCCAAATCTGTAAAATGAGAATATTCCTCTCTCCCTGAAGGAGTGTGGGGGCAGGGATGAGGGGGAGTATTGGGTCCAATGATGTGTGTCATGGGCATAGAGCACATGGTAGCCACTCAATAAACGTGAATGGCCCTTGCCCTTTAATGTCCCAATCTCCCCAATGAGCCAGATGGACTTGCCTCTACTCCTTTTGGAGTGAGGCACTCCTAGGGCCCAGATAACATGCCCTGATAGCCATCTTTTGCAGAAAAGATCAAATTGGCCCATGGGTACTGAAACCCACCCAGGGTCCCCAGGTTAAGAACTCTTACTCTGCGTTCTCCCTTGGTTACTAAGCCCTGACAACAGCTTTCTTTCCATTGCTCCCATGCATTCCCATCCCAGGAGTTTCACACCTGCTATTTCCTGTGCACAGAACGATCTTTCCCAGCTCTTGTTATGGTTCGTTTACTCTTGTCATTGACGTCTCACCTAAAAGGGGCAGTCCCCATTCACTTTCCAGTTAAGAGAGCTGCTCCACCATGCCGTGGGTCTCTAGAA